CGTTTCGTCACGCGAGTGGATACATGGCTGCCAGCATTAGTACATATCGTTGAATGTCGGGCTTCTTTATCTGGAAAAAGTTTTTCTATTTTCAAAAATTCTACTCAAGCAGTATTTTTCGTTTTTTTTTCTTTCATTGCCTATAAGTAAAAAATGTCTAGTTTAAAATATGTTGTATTAGAGTTTATAAACAAATAAAATTTGTTAAGCTACAAATAAATACAACTTTGCTTTTATGCTAACTTTATGAAAAAGTGATACAGATGAACTTTTTTACAACAGGTAACCACGCTTTGAAACTGTTATGTATTTGGGTGCGCTTATTTTCAATTTTTTCACGATCGCAATACTTACCCTTACTGTATATTGCATATATAGGGGTAAGTTAAAGTAAAACGTTTTAATGACAGTGTAATATTTTATTTTACACATAAGGAGGAATTCCCGCAGAAAATCCCCGCCGTGTGGGTTTTCAGATACTGCGCCCTAATGCAGATACACCATCACCCAGATAAAATTTTTTCTAACTGTTGGGAATATAAGTTTTAAATTATTCTCTTATTTCACATTTCCTGTCTTTCATACACTTTTTTCATTTATTTAATTTGTAAAATGCGGGTTGGTCCACCATTAGGCGAAAAGTGGGTACCCTCCTAAGTTTAAATATATTAATTATAATTTTTTTTATTTAACGGAAGAAATTTTGAAAATTCGATATTTAAGCTCTGCCAGACAATTTTATAGAGGTTACCTAATACTTACCTGACTAGTTAATTATACATCGGTATAACGAGTTTAATCATTGATATGAAATGCCGCTTTCTGTGAGTAATTATTGGCAAAAATGTTTCTTTAATAACCAAGACTTCTATATACCAAAAATACATAATTCCATCATGGTTCACACAAATACACACAAACGAATACCGTTTTAAGAGAATTGGTTATTCGGACTCAAAACTTTTATTTCCATCGAAAACTCGGCTTCGACATACTTCACGCTCGAAATACTTTTGCTTACTTTATATCTCAAATATAGGCATGTTAAAGTAGATACAAGAATTACCGTATAGAAGTCGCACACCGATGTTTGTCTCGTAATTTACTCTTGTTTTAGATACTTAAGACTTTATTTTAGAACCTTCCAACGATATCAACTAATCAATTTTTTTAATCAGGTAGACAGATTCTTCATTGCTCTATCCACATTACTTGGCGAAACAGAACTGAATAACGTAAGTTCCTAATCTAGAATTAATATAACATAATATTAAATTTATATGTACATATATATATATATAAAGTGTGGCCAGAGAAACAGGCCAAACTGCAGGAGTGGATTGCACATTAGAAAATAATTAAAAAAAAAAAACACATATGTTCTTGTCCATTTTTAAACATTTTATTGGTTCATTATGATAAGATGGGTGCTAGAAAAAATAAGAAATAAATACAATTGAGCTTCTACGAGTATATTATACTAGTAGGCCCGTGCGAAAAATTCGCACAGCATATTGTTATCAAATGCCAAATTAATAATAAAATAAAATGATACAACGTATCAAAAGATAAAGAAATCAATTGTTACTTTATTGATAAATATAATCGACTAAGGAAACAAAAATTAATTTGAATCTTCATTTTTTTTTGGAACCAACATTTTTACAAATTTCAATAAGCTGTACCTTCGCTAAAAATTGTTCGATTTCGATGATTTTTTTGTCCTTTTGTAGGTAATTAGTAATCTTTTATATGATCATGGCCATGACCCAGCGAAAAGTGTGTAATTATGTAGTTATTCGCAAACAAATTTAATATTCTTTAATAACTTGTTTGTCTGAATTTTCGGGGAGATTGGAGTATTTTGCCCGCCTGAAGGAGAAGGAAGCCTTCCAAATTGGTGGCTCAATCTTGAGATTTGGTGAACAATTAACGATGATATGGCTTTCAGATCAAAAACACCATCGATAAATAATATAAACTCCTCCTCTCTCGGTCATAGAGGCCTCAAAGTCGACGAAATGAGACATGTATTCAATGACAGTACTACAGTTAACGTAAGGTTGTGTGAATGCGAACCCTATGCCTTGCGTTATATCGAAAATAGTACGTTTTTGGGCTTAAAAACACAGGATCCGTTAGTTCCGGAGGAACTATCCGGGTCATGCTGTACGCATCAAAATCTTCAAGGTTTAATTTGTTCCTTATCGATCTACAGACCTATTACCGTTCCAGTATTGAAGCCTAGCAAAATGTTTGTATCGACTTTATTTATTTTATAAAGAAAAACAAAAGTGGAGAATACGATTCAATAACCCCCCGTGAAATTCTAAATCCAACGGTACCCCATTCATGGTATTTGAGCATGACAGGAGTTTATATTAGGTACAAAATCGTTTTCGAGACTTACTGTAATAATATATGTGGGGAAGGGGATGGAGATGGGGATTTGTGGGGATGGGGATGGGGATATGTGGGGATGGGGATTGTTCAATATGCATGGAACCATATCGATAAACTAAATTATATACAAAGTTAATAAATATAATCTATAAAAATACTATCTATCTACAATAAATATAATATAAATAAATAGTAACTCACTAATAAAAAATCTATCGAAATAATCATTACTGAACTACACGAGGTAGTTTCATTTGCATGCAAAATGAATCAGTAAATGTGTTACCTGTTCTTGGGGATTTATCCTAACAAAAGTGTATTCTTCTGTAGGCTTATATTTAACAGATTGTAGTGTTAACATGGAAGACAAGGTTCCTTCGCCAGTTTTTTCGAATCTTCCTACTGTTTCCTCAACTCAGTGTTGCCACTGGTGATAGTTTGCAGCTCCAATCCTCCAATATAAGCCTCCCCCCTCACAAAAAAAAAAAACCTGTACCACTACAGCCCATGGAGTGTCTGGGATTCAGTACTATTTAGGAAAAACTGTTACTTGGTCAGAAAAATTCCACATTTGGTCTTTGATAATAAATAAGGCTGACATTATTTTTTTCACCAATGTCTCAGCTATTTAGGCCTCATTAAGAGAAAAAAAACTTAATTTAAAATTAAAACCATTAGGCTAATTTGTTTGTCCATTTTTTTTATATAATACTCTAGACGTAGGTTAATTAAATAAATAAAACGTCATAAACAGAATTTGTTTCGTAATTGAAAATAAAGCAACAATCAATCTCTTTATCTATATCTTCAATACTAACAATAAAGCAAGTTTGATCTTCTTTGTAATGTTTAGATTTTTAAAATGTTCTTTTGCATTGATTAAGGAATAACGAATGAATAAACTATTCATCCATTAGATGAATAAACTATTATACCCATTTTTAAGAAATCAGCTTACCAAACTATATCTTCGTTGTGAGAATACAACGACTTACGTTCCACTAGAAGATTTTACAAAAGGAAAATTAGTCTTCAGGCCCAAACGTCTCACATTAAAGTCATACTATATGTAGTTGTAGTTGGAATTTTGCAATTATAACCTAACATCCATTTTCTGCCACTTGTTGAGTTTAAACTAGACTTCCTCCCTTCATCATTGGCTACCTTTAAAATTAAGAAAAAAATCTTTTGTCTAGGACATAGTGAAGCAGTATCTGCTGTTAAGGCCTACAGTAGAATTTGAAGCTCGTGGATTCTTTAAGATTAATTATTCTCTTTTTACAACGGTAAGTTATTTATCTATTAAAATAAATGAAAAATGTAGTTTATAATACTTAATTTTATTCATTTTACTTGCAGGATAACTTCATGTTGATAATGAACTTTTTCCTAATTTTCTGTTTCAGATCATCTCTACAGCTGTCACCTATATAGTCATTCTAGTAAAATCTGATATATTAAAAGGACATTGATATGTGAGACAGTTGTGTTTTTACTAAATTATAAATATACTGAATCATACAAAAATGTTTTATTCATTTGTACCCAATAATTATGGTACAACTATTATTTTCTATTCGAATCTGGATAAGTGGAATCTTTTGAAGGTAGGATTTTGTTTGCACTTAAAAAGAGGTATTCCATTTACTTAATTTATCTAGATCATAGAATGTTTTGATCGTATCATTGGATGGAAAATAATATAATTGTAACTTGGCTGTGTTGGGTGGCTATAGCCTATCGACACAATTTGTACTGACAAAAGGAGCCAAATAGGTAGGAAGTAGGAGCTTAGAGAAACAAAGTCGAGATACCTCAAAAAACATCTAATACAAATTTTAATTTAGAGGGGAAGGAGCTTCAGCCCGGAACATTTTTTTTAAATATTAAGATAATTACTTCAGAAGAATGAAAGAAACTAAGTACCTATATGAAATGGTGTTTAAGTGATTCTTAAAGTCCTATTAAATGTAATTAGATGAACAATAATACTTTCAGAGATAATATTTTTCATAAAACATGGTTATATTTTTCCATTTTTTTTTTTTGGAGAGGGGGAGGATTCAAAGAGAAAACATGATGGAACAGATTATAGCAAGAACAAAAATAGAATAGAAAAAACAGAACAGACTGTTCTAATTCTCCTTTCATTAGTATGTTTTTAATAACAAGAGGTGTGAAATAAAATTTCTTGGGAGGGAAGAGGATAATGGGAAAGGGACTTCTTTCGCCATTGACCTTAGGGAGGATGGACACCTCTGATTAGATCTCATTTTATAATGGTAGTTATACTAATTAGATGGTTTTGCTTACCTGTTGAAGGACATCTAATATGTGGGATGCTTGTGGTCGCACATATTAGAATATGTTCATTCTTACCTGTGTGTTTTTTTTTCCTGGACACCCTCCCTCTCCACACCTTTCGATTTCTTAAAAATATAAATCATGGGTGATAAATACCTAGGACGCAGTCATTTTTAAGGTGTTTATTGGTGCCGACTTTTCAACCCAAGCATGTGTCTCGAACACTGGAGGTGTTCAAATATTTCTGATAGTAAAAATATGAATAAGTGCAATGAGGGTATGAAGTAAGTAAATTACATTTTGATAATTTATTTTCCCAAATTTCATGATAAAACATTAAATTAACACAATATATAAAATAATTAATTATACTGCATTGTTTTTAATAAACTTTACAATCTATTAACTGGGCTTCAATCTGAATGAATTGTATACAGTTTAATCATGAGTAGTAATATGTAATAAGTATTTGTATTAGTAAGAGAAGTTAAAACAATTCCTCAATATTTTGTGAAAGTAATTGAAGAGAATGCTTATATAAACAAGTAGAATAATAACTACTACAGCTGAATTGGAAACTGTGGTTAACATACATAACACCAAATAAAATCTGAGTGGCCACCATATTCTTATAACTTTTCAAAACAAATTTTACAATAATTTAAGAAATGTAATTACAATGTTTAACATTAAAACAATTCATTAGTGATATTTCTTTTTATGTTTTTTTATTTTTTTCTAAATTTATTATCTGTAATCATTACTAGGTAAATATAACTACTGATTATTGTTTTCTCTTAATTGTTTCCTGTTTACTGAATGATAATAATAAAATAAAAGTTGTAAACATTGTTGAAGCTTAATTTTTGTTTGGTTGAGGAACATTTTTTTGTTCCTTATTCTCAGGAACATGCTCTTGCTCCATGGCCTCTGGAACAACCTCTTGCTCCATGGCCTCTTGAACAACCTCTGACTGCTGTGAAACAGATTCTTGCATTTCTTGAGTCTTAATCAGTACAGGAGAAGGTTGCTCTATAATAGATTGATTCTTCACTGACTGAACTGATTGTTTTTCAAGTGCTGTACGTTTCATCGGTGATTTCATTTTTGCTGGTTTATCAACAACGACAGGAATTATTGGAATATCTCTATCCATCTTATTAGACTGAAATCAAATTAACATTCAAATATAATTTAAAATAACAAAATTCAAGTTATTTTGGATAAATGCTACTTATTCATTATAATATTTAACATTAAGCGGATGTTTGGTACTACTTTTAAGCGTTGCTCAACTCTGATGAGTGGCGCGGGACCAGCATGCCCAGAACGGGGTTTCTTGGTGCAAGTTTCACTATCGAAAATTTTGAGGACACATTTCTAGGGGGTTGCAAATTTTCTGAACAAAAAGTTTCCAACCAGAAATCTCGGGATAAACATGGGAGAGGCCACAGCTAGTGGAATGGGCTAACCTGTGTGCGCAGCACTGCGCGTTGCCTGGCAACCTGATAACCAAAGTTGGAGACAATAAAATTACGAGTTCGTGTCTCGGTGCCTAGGGGTCTTTCAATTCCTCGCCCTCATCCCATGGCCCGGAAAACGCCTCTCCCTCTCTCCCCTCCCTCCGTATGCCTAAAAAGGAGAGGTAGGATAGAACAAAAAAAAAAATGCATTAATGCATTACATCACACTACTGCATACACCCGTATTGCCCTGGTGGCATGGGAGGGTGGAAAAATAAAATAAAAATAAAAAGAACAAAAAAATAAAATTATTGTAATTGTATGTGTTGTACAATTTTTCTAATTGTACTTTCGCTTGCAATGTTTTTAAGGAGATGAGAAGCAATAAAATGTCTCAGGAGAGGGGAGTGGTTCATGCGCCATCGATCTTGGAGAGGATGGGCACCTCTGAGCATGCAGGATCTTCATGATCATACTATAAATGATATTCCGAAAATAGGCAGATGTATTCGAAAGTAGTCCAGGTCTTTCAGTTATTTTTGAAAAACGTAAATAAACTATTCGTTGACCAGTAAGAACAGTTCTTAAGAACTATTAGACGAAAAATATTTCATAGAACAACTAGATGATATGTTATAAGATTCGCTATCGAAGCCATCATAATTTAATAATAGGTAAAAATTACGGATCTGAAAAAAAATTTCATTCTTATAAGAGTATTATGATTAAAGTCAAGCATTATTCGAGTTTGAAATAGTTAACTTTTCAACTTATAGTTAATAATATTACATAATTATTTATTCTAAAATTATTATTAGCACAAATCATATGAGATGATTATCGTCCAAGACAAAAGTTATATAAAGGCCAAGTTTAGGTACTTGCCCAAATATTCAAAATTAAAATGGTAATTTTTGTAATTTTAAATAATTACCAAGTTGGGATTATATAAAAAAAATACAAAACTTATAAACTGTCCTGCGGTTAGCAAGACACTATTAAGATATGTTTAGGCATTTCACATACTATGAGACAAACAATTACATAAATGGTTATTTCAGTATGCTAGTATTTTTGTTTCTCGTTTTGGATTTTTTCCATTTGCTGTGGGTATCAAGACAAATAAAATAAATATTTATGAAACTATACAGAAAAAAACATGTCAAGTAAAAAAAATTGTTCTGATATTTTTATGAGCTAAGACTTTCGTTTAAAGACAGTTAAGAGCTTGTAAAAACCACTCTTCTTGTCAGGTTGAAAGAACACTTCAGTAGTTGGAACCACTAAGAGATCCAGGATTTAATTTTGGGGGAGGGGCTTTAGCCCGAAATCTTTATATATATATATATATATATATATATATATATATATATATACAGTAATACTTTTAGAAATAATTTTTTTCAAAAGACATGGCTATATTTTACCATTTGGAGGGGGGGAGGGGAGAGAGTAGCTTAGTAGTAACAGAAAAGGACCAACTGGGGATTTGTTAACTTCTTTTGAGCGACCGGAAGTCAAAAGCAGTGATATAATTAAGGCTCAAATTTGAATTGAAAAAGACCAGTTGGAAAGAGAGTTTGTGGAAGTCGCAAAATGCATGGAGGTTATACCGTTAATACAACACTCGGATGTTCTCCGAATTTCGTTTATAGTGTGATCATAAGATCTTGTACCCACCCATCAAGTGGAGCAACACTTGTAAACTGAAACCATAATTTCTTCTTAACTTTAAATGTGTACTGGCTCCACTACAAGATAAGGAAACTCATAGTTGTCTCAGAGAAAAAATTATCTCTTAAGTCGACTCGAATATATTTAACAATTTGTTCTTGCACTTTATTTGTAATGACTGTAATGGTATTTACTCCGAACAGTGTATGCATAATTTTCTAGATTACTGAGTAACTGAGTAGTTTCTATACCCGGTTTAGGTTTAGTGTGTTCAAGCTAACAAAGAGATTTATTTAGTGATGTAGATTTAGTTTAACTGTAAATTTGAAGTCCTGGAGGTTAGTGAATTGGATGAACAAATTACAGGTTTATAATTAATGTTTACTTGATAGTATTGAAGCTTCTGCTTAGGAATTTTTTAAAACTGATTTAAGTGTAATATTTTTCTCTAATTTGGTTTTGTTCTTATTTTATAATCCAAACTTTATTCTCTTAAAACTTTTATAAGTATGAAAATACTTACATTCTTAGGGCACAAAATGCACAGGATACCATCAGAAGAAATGAAGCAATTAATTTTTCCTTTGTCAAGGTCTTCGGGTATTTCATACTTCCTGGTAAACTGTTGAGATATCAAGCTAACATTATCCATTCTCTCTTCATGTTCACCAACAATAATCACGAAGCCATCACGTAGTTTAACTTTTAATTCATTTGGCTTATACTCATGAACATCCAAAAAGATTTCAAAAAAATCAGGGATTACAGTTGTCTCCTCGAGATTACGAAAGGTGGTAGGATGAGATGTTGATGGAGAAAGATGGCTCTGTAAAATGTTGCTTAAGCGATATTTTCCAAATTCTGAACTGGTTGATGGAGAAAATCTTGGTAACTAAAATAAACCATAAAATGTTTGGCCCACATAATTATTATTTGAATCAACATAAGTTCTATATTATACAAATTAAAATAATACTATGTGTAATGCATCTAATGTATAATAGAATTAATTTATCATTAATATTACTGAATATAGTTGAAATTCATGAAGTGTTTGTCTCATTTCTGACTAAAAATTTGAATCATCTTAGAAAATAAATATATGTGTGATAAATAGTAATGTAGTATGAATGAGATGTGATTTAACATCCGAATATTACACAGGATAAAATAGCATAGTCATAATGTAACTGACCAATTTATAATGTTGATGTCGTAGTACTATATGTTTATTTGATATGAGGTCAATATAGAAATCATAAAACCTATCATGAGCGGCTACACCCGGAAGGCCAATTATCTTGCATATAACATCAAAAAGTGGGCTGGGATAGCTGAGAGGGATGATGCTATTGCAATATGTTCAATCGTGGTAAGTATTTGGATGACCATCCATCAGGAAAAGCTAGTGCCCAAGATTCCTCTCCCACTTCCACCATTATATGAGACACACAAGTCTACCGGAGGTAATACCGATCAGGCATAGAAGTGATGATCCTACATTTACTTAAGTCAGTAATCATGATACGGTTATAGGATGTCAGTAGCTCTTCAGAGTTTTGGTCTATGGACAGTCTGTTTTTGAAAAGAAATGTAAGTCCTTTTGCATCTCCTGACTCCGAGCAGTCTTAACCCAACGATCTATACTGATGTATCACTGCCCTTTAACCCAAGTGAGATAGTGGAAAGGACACTTTCAGATTGGCCCCAATGAGATCGAATTGGCTGTGGAGATCATGGTCCTTAGTAACGTGAGGAAAGGTAACCCCCTCTAGACTAGTGTACTTTTGCAAATAATATACATATATTAGAAGACCACATCATCTGGCCAATGATCAACATGATCTAAGGCTTCCAATATTACCGCAATTCAAAAGGAGCCAGCCTTTCAGATGATTAGGAAATTACACACTGAACGAACAAGAACATGCCTGAACCTCACAGATATAATTTAAGGAGTACCAGCCTTCAAACCTCATGAAAACAAAAAAATAGGAACATGACAGGATATAACTGAATAAGAATTCCTAATTTCCTAATTTTTATAACAAGCAGAGAGAATCCTGACGTGTCCTGAAAGAATCTCTATAAGACAATCTCAGAGAGTCTGCGAGGAAACTTAACTATACCTTATCACATTGAAATTTAGAGGTTTCTTGCCAGCATATTTATTTTAGTTTCATCTGAAACATTTCTGTATGTGCAGCTAAGTTGAAAACAATATACATTTATTTACTTACTATATTGCATGCTCCAATTGAGATAGAAGATGTAGTTAAAGATGAATTTTATGATCAGCTAGAATAGAGTTTCAATGAATGTCCTAGTTGATGTAAAGATATCAGTTGGTGACGTCAATACCAAATTGGTTAGGAAATGATCTATCAACCTACTGTTGGTCGATTTAATTTGAATGAAGTCTTGTTGATTTAGCAGCATTGAAGAACCTTATTGTATGGGTTAAGGACCTAATTAATTCACTTAGTTAAATGGTGAAAGCTTATACAATTAAATCCCGTATAGACCATATACTTATGAATGATTGACATAAATCTTCCCTACCGGATCCAGGCATATCAGAACACTTTATAATTTCTTGTTAAATAAATAGTAGGATTTAAATATCTAAAACTCAGTGTGGGTGTGGAGCAACTACATTAATTAACAATGAGCCTGTAATAACCCAGAGTTTCTCTCATACTCTAATGGAAAAGCTAAAATGAACATTTATTACTAAAATTATTGATAACTTTTATGTCCACTACTGTTAAATTTTTAATATATTCCTTTAAATATTTTTAAAATATGTTTTATTACGTAATTATTGACATGTTTATAAAATTATTATATTTAATGTTATTTCCTGAGTTTCTTTAAAATAAACACCATTAACAAACATGAATACTTCAGTTTTACCTTTCTTTGTGGTAATTGCAGCTTTTCATTTCTGAAAGAAGAGCTGCGGGCTGGAACAGCTGGAGTTCGAAAATCATGATCATGAAATCTTTGTATTCTTGCTGTTATGACAGATGGAGGCTGTTCAATATTGCTTGAATATCTGGCATGCTCTCCATAGGGTCCTGATTTTGATATGTGTGACATCTAAATAAGTCAGAAACAGTAGTAATGTTCCCATAAAACAAAAAACAAATAAAAAAAGATTTGTGCAAGTTCTATGCTTTCTCAACTCCAAAAATAATTAATTTTAATTTTTTTTTTACATATACTATTTTTAGAACAATTTTATACAATTATATGTATTTAATATAATAATACTGGAAAAAAAAAAAATGAAACTGGATAGGATCCACTCAGGATGAGAACCAAAACCAGGTTGTATATCTATTTTTAAAAAGTATATCACTAACAAGACAAGAACTGTAGTGCTATTTTTTTTTTTCTCCAGTTTCTATGAAAAAAACTTGAGTAGTCATCTTTCAAAGCTTGATAGATGACAGTATTATAAATCGTAATTGTTATAATACTATAATAACTATGATATTCTAATAATATAATACTGTTTGTGCAACTTTCAGCCTTCAGACAAATTTAAATATTAATTATTGTATGAAGATTAAGATTAAGGAGATTTTCTGAATTCTAGTCATGTTGATTCTAATTTATATAAAAGAGCAAAACCTCTTAAAGAGAAATAAATTTATTGTAAAGATATAATTAGAAGATACCTAGTTCAAAGGCTTGAGTTAAATACTCAGTTATCAAGTGAGATGGAAGGTTGAAGCTAGCGGTGTTCCAGTTCATCAGATGATGGGAAAAAATCAGCACCACGTAGACCAATGAAAATGGAGGAACCCAGAGCAGCAGTAAGGAAATGGTTTGTTAGTCGGCAGACCATGAAGAGGACAAACAAAGTACAACCCCATTAGAAGGTGTGTAGCCACAAACCACGCTGCTCCACAGATTACTCTGTTTTCTTGTTCCCAAAATAGAAGAATAATAATAGAATAGAATATTAATAATGAAGGACGAAGAGAGTATTTTTAGGTGGCAGTGACATGCACTATCCTACTGCCGCTGAAAAACCTGTATGCCGGAAATGGTTATATGGGGAGAAAAAAAAGGTGGTTGAATGTGTTAAGATTTCTTCTTAGCTACCTTGAATGAGAAGTGGCACCAGTTCAATTCCAGCCTGGACAAATCAACCTTTTAGCGAGAATGAGCGGGAAAAGTGGAGCATACTTAAGGATGGAATACTTTTCACCATCTCTACTGACCACTTACACGTGTTTATTTAAGGCATCGTTCAATAACGCCCATACTCTCTACTTACAGAAAAATTACCTACTACCTCATGGGAAGGCCATGAGATAGTTTAAAAGTAGAATTGATCACTGAGCCTTCTGTTGTTTCACGAGAAAGAGTTCAACACCATTGCTTAACTTGAGTCTACCATCATCTGGGCTCGATTCCGTCTTGACTCATATAAGAGTCCATGGTTGTTGAAGGGTTAAAATTTATTTCATGGCATTGAAATGAATCTTAACCTTTGAAATCTGGCTAGACTATATTGATTACCTGCAGAATAACGACCTCCTATACTAGGAATGGTGTAAAGTACAGATGGGAAACTGCGACCTTCAAACTTTTTTTGTTACATTTTTTAATCTAGTGCTAGAATTAATTCATATTTAATTATTTAAGTAACGACTATTTAGAAATAGAATTAATTTGAATGTATGTATGTGAGTGTGTGTATTTAGTGATAATTAAAAATAGCAATGGCAAAATATAAAGAAGTATTGTGGCCTCCATTAGCACTGCCTAATTTAACTGTGGTCTCTAATGATAAAAAAGTTGCCCACCTATGGTGTAAAATACACCTATATGAAAATACAGAAGTAAATAACTTTTACTGTTCATACGTGTGACCATCTCTCATGTAATTGGATTTTTGGTTTATTTTTTAAATTATATGAAATTTTTTTTAGTAATTGGTTTAAAAATGAATAATTTTAACTGTTACCACACACTTGATGAATGTTTGCAGAGATTTTATCCACATGTACACAATACACGAATAATCATCAAAAATACACAGCACGGTAAGGCTCAGTCGTTCTAGCTTTATCTTTTTAAAAAATCTTTGACTCGGCTACAATATAAATACTAATTTAAGCAGTTAATGAGACTAAATGTAAACTATATAAGATAAAGTAAAAAAAAAACATGGCTGCTTATTGTTGGTTGATGCTGATTTAAAGCTAAGTCTTGGATATATTTATAAATGAGTGGTATTTAAACATATTTCTGAAGGATATATCTGTAAATCATTTTACAATAAACAAATGAAAATAACTGAGGATTATACCTTGAATGAGACTGAAGAAATATAAAGAACTTCTTTTAGGCAAGAAACTGCTTCCTCAAAGACAACAGGGCGTGGCCTAAAACCTCTTAAGTCGGAGTAAAACAACCTTCTTGATCTTGCAAATCATAATGCCCTCTATATAATTCATTTCAGTCTGATTTAAATTTAATAACAACATAACCATTCATCTAAAATTGTTATCTTAGTATCGGAAAAGAATATTAAAATCTGGTCTTCATAAAATTCCAGACTATTAAACAATCTGGCCTTTAATGGAAAGATTTATTAATATAAGTCAATGAGTCTTTCAATACTATGTTGGTATAATTTCATATTTAATATTTTTCTGTTACCAGATTAAGAATGAATAAAAATTTATATTTTGTTATACCAGCTATGAAAAAAATCTGGTCATACAATATGGAATCTGCACCTTGTCTCAATGGAATGTAGTGGTCATGTGTGGATATTTACATCACCTTCTTGTATAATCTGTGGGCAATTCACATTAGTTTTGTTGCAAATATAAATATTGTTATTAGTGGTTATATATGTATATATTCCACGTTATGATAATATTAGTGTCTGACAGCGCTCAGTTTAAACAATCATTCACTGTCTCTGACTTGTTCAATTACCTATTTATTGATTAGATTCTCAATGTTCTTTTTAATTAGTAAATCACCACTTGATTTTTATTTAGAACTTTTATCGTACTTCTAACTCTTAGCATTTATTTCAGTATCAAAGGAAAATTAATGGTGAATAATTTATTAAGATTTTTACAAGGATATTTTGGGTTGATTTGTTAGTATGAAACAACTTTTTCGTTATATTATTTAAATTTACTTTATTATATGTTAAATGCAATAAAAATAAAATATTTGCTCATTCAATGTTTTATAAAAGTTTAATCACTATATTTTGTTTTTTATTTGCCAATGGTCCATTACTCAGCCACTGTCGAATGTACCAGATGGCTTTTTCAATCTACTTTCGATTATTCGGCTGAAGTTGCTGAATGTGCCAAAAGATTGGGGGTTGACTGGGGTCATCGAAGTATGAGAGCTCTACGGCAGTCGCTAAGAGAAAATTCTTTTGAGGTATGGGCCAACTGCAGGAGGTAGGGCATTGGTGTTCGTCATTTTAAAGAGACCCTGAAAGTGAATAAATACATGTACGAAAAACAAGTATTTTCTGAGTCTGAATGGTCGAATGCCCTGAAACATTAATTATGTAACCGTGTGTGAAGTCCCAGATGCCAATGGACAGGTCAGAGAAGTTGGGTCCCTTTGTCGTAAATGTGGCAGAGAGTCTGAAACACCAGGTCATGTGCTGGGATAATGCCCCCAACAACTCCCTTCTCATAACATGACGGCAACATAGAGTCAGTTCGATTTGATGAGGCTCCTTAGAGAAAAGGAATGCACCTGCTTTGACGAGTTCTATTGCATCAACAGTGAAGGCTCTACAAGACATGCTGATAGTGAGGCATTTCCCAAGACAGAAAGGACAGCGCTGATCTTCAATCAAACTGTCCGCTTTGAGAGCTATGATCTCGATCAGGCGAGTGAAGTGGAAAGGGAAAATAAGAACACATGATAAACGTATCCCTTTCCTAAAAGAGAAGTTTCATGAGACCTTCGGAGAGAGAGTTCACCGTAAGAGGCCTCTGGTTTGAGTCTTGCAGAACGATTCCAAAAAGAAAAATGAGCTTCCTCGAGGAAATAGGTGTTGACATTAAGGAAGTAGCGAGGTTGGCTGAAAATACATTTTGTTATCTTTTTATTTTTATTTTTTAGGAAGCTTCTGTTTATATATTTTTTCTAAGGTTAAGGCAAATATACTTTCATTTTTCTTTAGTCTTTTTAATTACATCTATTACATCTGACGTTTCAGGACAATCCCCCATCCTCAGAGAATTCCTTATGTTTACTTCCTTATGTTTGTGGTGTAGCACCAGTTGTCAAAAATTCAATAATTGTCATATGTATTTAAATATTTTTCTGTTGTTACACATTCATTTTTTGTTCATTCATAGTTGCTTGGTGTGATAATGAACAAAAAATTAATGTCTAACACCAAAAAAATATTTAAATAGGTATGACAATTATTGAATTTTTGACAACTGGTGCCACATCACAAAAGCAAGTAAACATAAGGAATTCTCTGAGGATGGGAAAATTGTCCCGAAACGTCAGATGTAATAGGTGTAATTAAAAAGACTAAAGAAAAATGAAAGTATATTTGCCTTAACCTTAGAAAAAAATATATTTCTCGACTCCCTGGCAATCATTCACCACCAGTTACATGGCTAGGGTGAGAGTTTTGATCTATGTATTTAGTTCTTGATGTATATGGGGTTTTTTAATATTTTTTTTATTGTTACTATTGACTAATTTTGAGCATTTTAATACTTGTAGAGTATGTATAAGAGAGATGTATAGATAGAAGAGAGAGAAAGGAAAATCAAAGGCAAAAAAAAAAAAAAAAATGCATGAACAAGGAAAAAAATATATTAACCAGTTCTTTATATTTATATGTAAGTTTTATTAATTTTTTTCCTAAGGATTAACCAGTATGCTGTATGTCTAGCAAACCCGATATAATTGGCAGCAAGCTTTTATATTTTATATAAAAATAAAGTTTTTCTCTCTCCTAATAAGAATTTTATTATACTTCTTTGAGGATGATTATAAAAGAAAAAAAAAAAGATAGATCCATCTTACCTAAATATTTCTGTTTAATGATTTTGTTGATCATTTTTTTGTTTAAGAATAATATAAATCTTAATTTTAACTGCAAGTTATTTTAGACTTATATGCAAGTTATTTTAACTTATAAATATATGTATATATATATATATATATATATATATATATATATATAGATAGATAGATAGATAGATAGATAGATAGATAGATAGATAGATAGATAGATATATATATATATACTATTGCAGTTTCCGAAACATGGCTAAAACCCCACATACCTTCCTCTTCCGTTTCCTTACCCGATCACACCTTTATCCACCATGACCGGATTACACGAACAGGTGGTGGTGTGGGTCTTTACGTCCATAATAGCCTAAAATCCCGAACCCTAGATATCTCACCCCCTTCCAAATATCCCCACATGGAATACCTTTTTGTTGAAATTTCCTTTAAAGACCATCTTCTCCTATACGTTGTAGTATACCGCCCTCCTCTGGTACCTTTCGACCCATCCTTCGAATCAACCCTATACAAATTCATCCCATTTTACAGTAATATAATAGTTTCCGGTGACTTTAACGCCAATCTCCTTTCCGATTCCCACGATAAACACTACCTGGAAAACCTTTTCTACTCCCTTAACCTCTTTATAGTGCCATTTGCTCCTACGTATCACACTTGCTGGTCTGATACATGGCTGGACCTGTTTATCATCGATTCTGCGCAGAACCTTTTGTCCTCGTCCCAACAACCTGTTCCTTTCCTGTCTTCACATGACCTCATACAACTATCTTACAATATCCAGACCCCTGCGATCCTTCCTAAAACCATAACCTTCCGCAATATAAATTCCTTAACCCGTGAAAGCATCTTACCCGATATTGAAACCCTGAATTGGAATGATATTTACACCAGCTCCTCAATCGATACCATGGTAGAAATCCTGACTTCTAATCTCTTCCATATCCTCAATACCCATGCCCCACTTAAAACCTCTACATTCCGCCGCCAGCCTGCTCCTTGGATGTGTCAAGAAATTCGAAATATGCAAAAGAGACGTGAGGCAGCCCGTAGACGTTTCAGAAGAACCAGGCTTACAGATGACTACGAAGCGTTCAGGGTACTCCGTAACTTGACGCAAACAACGATCAGGCAAGCAAAAACCAATTACTTTCATGAAGCCTTCTCCTCAGCTCCTGACTCAAAATCCAAATGGCATTTACTCCGAAAGCTATCTCTTTGCAAATCATCTTCTTCCCTAGCTGTCCCAGTTTCTCCTGATGCCTTAAATTCCTACTTTTTGTCCTCCTCCTCTAGTAATATTTCTCCCGCCTCTTCTTATATTCCTGTATCATCTGCATTTAATAGTGATAATTTTTATTTTTCTTACATCACTCCTACGAACCTTGTTTCCTCCATAATGAAATCCCAATCCAACTCTACAGGAATTGACGGAATACCTGTCAAACTGTTAAAATTATGCCTCCCTGAAATCCTTCCAGTTCTTCTATTCATTTATAACTCTTCCCTTCAAAATTCAGTTTTTCCTACATCCTGGAAAAAAGCCTTAGTCCGCCCTATTAACAAAATCCCTAACCCCACCTCTCCTAAAGACTATCGTCCAATCTCCATCCTCTCAAATCTGTCAAAACCCCTCGAAAGAATAGTCCAATCCCAAATTTCCAATTACCTTGAAGAGTTCAAACAACTTTTAGATCCTCTCCAATCTGGCTTTCGCCCAGGCTTCTCCACTCAATCCGCTTTAGCTAAAATCACAAATGACATACATACTGTAATTGACGAAAGAAAACTGACTGTATTAGTACTCCTGGACTTCTCCAAAGCATTCGACTCCTTAGACCATTCTATTCTCTTCAATAAATTAAAATCTCTATCCTTTTCCAATAGTTCTATCCAATGGTTCCAATCCTTTCTTTCTGACAGGACTCAAGCCGTTAGTATTCCGAATCAACCCTTATCTTCTTTCCTCTCTTTGTCTCATGGAGTAGCCCAGGGTTCAAGCATTTCTCCTATCCTTTTTAATTCTTACATCAATGACCTTCCTAGTTCAATCCACCATTGTTCATACCATCTGTATGCTGATGACTCCCAAATTTATTTTTCCTTTCCGCCCAATGAGTTATTAGAAGCGTTTACGAATATTCAGAGAGACCTAGATAGGATAAGTGCCTGGGCAAGCTTGAATAAATTAAAGTTGAATGCAACGAAAACTCAGGCCATTCTTATAGGTTCCAACTCCCTCCTTAGATCCATTTCCACCCATCCTTCCTTGAATATTAATGACCAACCAATATCCTTCACCTCCTCTGTAAAAAACTTAGGAATTACCATTGATCAAAACCTATCATGGAAACTCCATATTGCTCAAATCTCCAGAAGGTCAATTGGTACTCTTAAATTATTTCATCCTTCTCGTCAGCATCTCCCACAACCTATCCGCAGGCTCCTCGTTTCCTCATTGATTTTCTCCTGATTTGACTATGGCTGTGTGGTATACGGTGGCCTCTCGTTGGAGCTTGAGGACAGACTGAAGAGAATCATGAACTGTTTTTTAAGATTCGTCTTCGGCACTTCGAGATGGTCTCATGTGTCCCACCTATATGCCGAGTCAAGGTGGCTCTTCCCCTCTTCCCACCGCCTATACTTCCTTGGAAATTTCTTATACCAAACGATCAACTCCCAGCACCCTTCCTATATCTGTTGTCTCCTCCAGTCTAAACCCTTAGTCCACTCAATAAAAACGAGATCCCGTGTTTCTGACCTCTATATTCCATTCCACAGGACAAAAACCTATGAACGTTCCTTCTTAGCCCGTTCCGTCTCCTACTGGAATTCTTTGCCACATAACATCCATCATGCCTCTTCCCTGTCAACTTTCAAATACCTCCTTTTCCAATATCTCCTTACATCCCAAACAGAAGATTTACCATCATAAATTTCATTTTATGAACTGAATTTGCGAGAAGTAAATAGTGGTGCCTACTGTTTAAGTTTTAACATAAAACAGCAATGATCTTTGTCACCTAGTTTGACTATTATTTTTACTATTTATGTATTTTTCTCTTCTCCTTAGGTTGTGCTTTTTCTTGCGGGTATATATGCTTATATTTTATATTTTTGTCTTTTTGTGTGCCAATATGAGAATGTACGTATAAATAGTTCCTTTTATTTATTTTACTTTTTTTTTTTTTCCATTACACCACAAGTATCCTAAGATTTTATTTTATCTTAGTGTCTGCATATTATTATATAAACCACTGTAGATATTATTACATTTTATATTAAGTTAGTTTTCTATTAGATAGCCTATTGTTTATAAATTGTGTAGTTATGTATATATAAATATGTAATTTTCTCTTCTTTTTTTTTTTTTTTCATCACAATTAAGTAATTTTAAGAAGATTTTATGTTCATTTGTATATATATTTTATTTTTTATTTTTCACTGGTTACATACTTTTTAAATAATGTATATAATATTAAAATTTTTATAAGTTAGTTTTTGGCCAGATTTGTACTTTACTTTGTATTAATTCATCATTGTTATTCTAAAGGGACTTAGTCCCAGAATAAAGTTTAATTTTCTATTCTATTCTATTCTATATATATATATATATATATATATATATTTTTTTTTTTTTTTTTTTTTTTTTTTTCTGTTATGTCATAGTATGTCATCATAAATATAATTCCCATATATATAAATCATTATGGTGAAAACTAATCTGCTTTAGGTTTTGTTTTTATAAAATAAATATAAATACTTTGATTGTTTCATAAATATCATCAGGATAAAAGTTCTTTATCTCTCGTTCCAATTTAACTCTAAAAGCAATATCTCTTACTAACTCCGTTATCAGAATTAATACTGGTAGCTATCAAAACAAATGATCCTATTGAAAAGATAAAGAATCTCTTTAAACAAATATGTAATAACAAACCAATAATATTTTATTCAAAGTAGCATTGATGCATATTGCCTCACTTAAAATGTGAAACTTGATTTATTATTATAAACCAGATTTATCTAAACATTACTAGATCACTATTAGAATTTTTAGAAAAAATAATATAAGGATATTCTTTAGAAGTGATTTTATTATCTAAACAATTTGAAAATGCTAAATTCAATTAGAACACACTTTGAAATGTGTAATATTTATTTGAAAATAAAAACTGCATTGTCTAAATAAAAATTGAAGAACATTGGAAAAAGTATAATAAATAAGAATAAATGATGTGTAGAATTACAACATCTGCATATATTTGTTTGTTTGTTGTAGTAAGGCATAAAACCCATTGGTCATGAAGGCCTGTGGTTTATTTTAACTATAAATATGGAAAAAATCCAGCAAATATTTTTTTTTTATTAAGTCATTTTATATCATAAAAGTTTTTTG